GACTGCGCGCTCGCACCTACGCGTGCTCCGCGTTCTTCCTCCCCGCAGTCCGTCACCCTGCGGTTCCCATGGCTAAAGGGGACAGGTACCTCCCTCCAGGCCCAAGATATCCCCCGGGGCATGTTATGAGTCAGCAGCATCCCCCTGGGCCCGCCCCTGGAGGCCGCAATCACCGCCATTTAACCCCCCAAAAGCGGGAGAGAGGCGGGCACCCCGCCGGCGCCGACGTCTAACGCCCACAGCTCTTTGGGCCGGTGGGCGCCCAGGGCAGAGAGCTTTCGCCCAGAGGACGCTGCAGTCTTCAGGAACCTGTGCATCTTGCGCGTTGCGCCTGCGCTCTGGCTGTCTCGAATTCACAAAAGTGGTAGCATTTCAGGCCCGGGTTTTGCTACCAGCTTCTAAGACGCGTGATCTACCTCCTCTGACCTAACTAAACTCCTCCTCAGAGTGCCCACAGCGCATTATCTCTTCTAGGCCTTGGAAAGTGGCACCTTCTGTTTTGTATGTCTATTCACCCCAAGTAAGAGCTCTCAGAAGGTAAGGTCGGTGCTGCGAGCATCTTTGCATCCCCCACAGCACTAAGCACAACGATGCTGGCGTGGGAGGCAGTCTCTCAGACCAGTACCGGCCCCCCCCCCCAAAAAAAAAGCTCATTGACTTCCAGAAACATCCACGGACTCTCCCCGCAGTGCCCCCTACCTCTTCTTTGTCCGGCTTTTTGATCTGGTCTCTGCACGCCTCTTTCCCCCCAGATTCTTCTCTTTGGTCTGCCATTTCTTTAGACATTTTCCTGACGTTCCTCGCTGCCCCTGGATCTGTCGCTCCAGTCACTTGTGGCTAGAACATGAAGTGGAGATCTAGAAGCTGATACCTGTAGCTTATCACATTTTCCTGGATATGGGGAATGGAGGGTCCCTGGGAGAGAAACGGAGATGCACGTGATAAATGCTGTGTCAGAGTAGAGGGAGGAGGGGATGATGGGGGCGACTGCCCAGCTGATGTCAGATTTCCAAATGAGCAGGGTCCCCCGCAGCCAGTACAGACTCTACTGCAGGAGCTGTCATAGGTCCAGACCACCCCGTTTGAGGGGGGAGTCTGCCTGGGTTTCAGCTCCTCTGGGGAGGGCTCTAGGCCAGACTCAGGATGACTACAATGGGGGAGGGGTAGGTACTGAGACAGTAACAGTGGGAGTGTGCACAGGGGCTCCAGGCAGCAGCCAGGCTCCCCCACTGGCCAGGCAGTTGGTATGCTCCAGAATCTGAACAGCTCCTTCTAGCATCCTTCATCCTGCAGGTACCAGCTGTCTGGGCAGTGCCTGAGCTGCAGAAACTGGGACCAGCCCCCAAAAGACCACTGACCTGACCCACCCCAGTGGCCTTCTCTGTATCAGCAGCTTCTGCTGCTGCGTCAGACACTTTCAGCTCCACTCCCTGCAAGGTGGGGCACCCACCTCAGGCAGAAGGTTTTGGTGCACCCTACTGACCCTACTCCCCAGGGCTGCGGCTGCCTGTAGCCTCAGGTGAGTCAGGAGTGTCTTGCTTTTCCCCGCCGGGGCTCAAGGGGTCAGGTGGGGATTATGTACCCTCCCCATCAGGGCGGGGCACTTCTGGTTGAGGCTTTTAGAGCTGGGAACACATGGCTTGATGGGCTGAAAAACCTGAAATTATTTGTATGTTTAATGATCGGTGGCCCAGGCTATATGGGAGTTTGGGGACCATCTCATCCTAACCTCTTCCTCAGCAGAGGAAGGCAGGGATGGGAAAGGCCACTGGAGAATGGGAATACGGGGAGAACCAAATATTAGGGCACCCGGCCCCAGCCTTATAAATGCTGGATGAGTGAGCATGGAGGGGGGGCCTTCAGTTGAGAGTGCTCTGAGCTGTCCCTCTCTTTTCTCCAGGATGAAAGGGGAGACCCCTGTGAACAGCACTATGAGTATTGGGCAAGCCCGCAAGATGGTGGAACAGCTTAAGATTGAGGCCAGCTTGTGTCGGATAAAGGTAGGTGGGACCCTGGATCCCATTAGTTGGCCTGGCTCTGCTGTAGCTTCCCAAGCCTCAGGATAAGAGGTGCTGTTTTTCCTCCCTTGGCTCCCTGAGATCAGGGGAGGAGTCCCAGTCTCCATAAGAAGAGGTTTCCCCAGGCTTCTGTGGGGGACGAGGTAGGAGAAGACCGTCTTAAAGAGCTTTAGAGACCGTAAAAGGTAACATTCGGGAAGAGAGGCTGCAGTCCCTTTCAGGGGCCCTGGCTGGCTAACAGTTCCCTCCTGCTTGTGCCCCAGGTGTCCAAGGCAGCAGCAGATTTGATGTCTTACTGTGATGCCCACGCCTGTGAGGATCCCCTCATCACCCCTGTGCCCACTTCGGAGAACCCCTTCCGGGAGAAGAAGTTCTTCTGTGCTCTCCTCTGAGCTGCTCAGTCCCTCGCACAGCCCCTCACCTTTCCCTCTCCTGAGTCCTTCCTTAGGTCAGTAACTGTCCTCAGTCCCTGAGGGTCCCTTGCATCCTCTTCCTGGCTTTTGCCCAAACCTGTGAGGTTATCTGAAGCACAAGGCCCTCCCTCACCTATCTGTGGACCCCATTTCCACACCCACCGGGGCACCCTCTGCCCCACCCACAGAAGGGCCATCAGACTCTGCCAGCGCCCTGCCCGATTCCCTCTGTGACCCGCTCAGACAAATGGAGAGAGGGGTGAGCCGGGTGCTTGCTCCCAGTCTCACCTGGAGCTATTGGAAAGGTAAAGCCATTTGAAGAATAAAGTCATCCAGAGTCTCAGAGGTACAGCTCCTGTGTTAGCGTTCTTGGGGGAGAGAATCATCAGTCATTCGATGGTGGGTGCGGTAGTTGAAAGGCTTGCAGTACTCAGGGGACAGGACCACTCAAAGCAGATTAGGCACTGTCTAGGATCGGAGATCGGTGGGGTTGGGGGGGGATGGCAGGCGCGCGAGAGCATCTCAAGTGGAAGAATTAAGTTACAACAGACACTCAGAGGCTACGGAGAGCATTCCACACACACACACACACACGAGGGCAATGAACAATGAAGGCAAGTGAAACTGAAAACAGACCGAACCGGGTGGATTTAGGGAGGGATTTGGGAGAGCAGCGGCAGACAGGAGGAACCTGGGAGCTGACGGGAGGAGGAGCTCGGTTCCAGTTCCTGCGAAGGGGCTGGACTTACTTCTAAGATGGCCGCGCCCACAGCGGGCTCTCTTCCAAGATGGCCGCCGCCATGGGACCTGCGCCAATATGGCAGCCCCACGTCACTGCGTTTCACCGTACAGCGCTTCTCAGCCAGCCCCATTCTTAAAATGGCGGCCCCAGGCAGCTAGAGTTCTCAATATGGTCCCTTCGGTGCTAACCTGGTCTCAAAATGGCTGCCCCTGCCCTCGCCAACTCGCTATCCACTCCTACCCACCCCGGGGTCTGGAAGCCGACGTCCCCACCACAATCCGGCTGAAGGTACACGGGAGGCTACAGCCTAGAATCATGGGACAAGGGGACCCCAGCAAGCACGGCGTAGCAGGCTCTGGTCGCGTGGATCTTGCGAGGCAGTCGAGGTTTCTGCAGCTTGCAGAGCAGATTCCTTTCGGAGCGGAAACAGAAGAGTGCCGTCAATGTCGGGCGCCGTTCCTTGGTCGCCTCTTGGTCTCCCAGGAGTTGGATAAGCCCGACAGTTGGGTTTCCTGGGGAACTGGCGCTCTCCCTATCTCCCCCTCAGGCCCGTTCTGTCACACCCGTCGGAAGCGGTCCCCGCCCCCAGTGTGCCTACCGCCCCAGGTAATGGTCCAACGTCGTGCCTGCCCAGAAGCCAGACCTAAGCCTCAAAGTCCCCCGAGCCCTCCGGACTCCAACCTGGCAGGTCTGTAAGCCCCAGGATGCCTTTCTAGAAGCCGCCGCCTTCCAGCGGGAACACAGGCGGGACCGGCCCCAGGTTGTCCGCTCCCCATGGACTGTCAAGATTCCCCCAGACTGAGGGATATATCCTTCCCAGGGGAAGTCTAGGCGAGTCATGTTTGTGCCTGGGTACTTCTGGGGGAGGGGGCAAGGGGATGCCTCTAGTAACGAGGGTGACGTGTATTATGGATAGCCCATCCCCCACCCCGTCACACAGCAAGACAAGGGGAAAGGACTGCAGAGAGGAACCGGCTGCCCTCCTGGAGTGGGGACCTACCCCTGTTCTCTCAGGAGCTGGCTTAGTTCCTTCTTGGTGCTTTGTGAAAACCCCTGCATCCTGACAGTGCCTGGCACAGAGCTGGCACTCAAACACCTAGTGAATGCACTGAGCTACACATGCTTAAATGGCAAGCAGGGCACAGCAGACACTTTTTCTACTGCACCACAGTGTTTGGCAAATTCCAGGGAAGCAAGTGAAAATTTCCCCATCAGCTCAGACTGGTAAACAGCTGGAAGTGCTCAATAAATGTCATCTTGATACTTTCTTTAAAGCCTTTGTTCACTTTTTCTGCACAATTTTCATACTCATGATAGTAGGGGTAAATGGCTGCAGCCCTAGTTGGGCAAAAAAGGGACTTGAGAGACAAGGCATGAGCTATAAATAACCATTAAAAATGATTAATTAGCTGTAACACTGAGTAACTTGAAATATCCTAGAGAATGGGCAGACACTGAAATCAAGGGTTGCCTTTAGGGTACAAAACCGTAAGCCCCTGGGGTCTGAATCTGGGTCACGTAGAGAGAGGTCAGAGCAGTATCTAGATTTGTATCACTGCTCCTTCCAAACACTGGACTGCCCAGAGCCTGTGGCACTCCAGCCTCAGTAAGTCCCTGACCATCTATTAGAAATTACAATTAGGATCAGTTCAGTGCTAGCTGCAATAGTGCTTTTGTTAGTTACCCTGTCATTCTCCAAATTCACGAGGAAATAACCCCCATCAAATATCCTGTTGAATGACTAGGCTTTTCCTCGTAAGTGGCAATTACTCATGAATAAACTTATTTGGCTCCTAAAAGGCATCTGACATTTAATTTCAAGCACCCAGCTGGTTTTAGTGTAGGCCAAATACACAGAGGTCATGACATAATTTATTGTTTTCTATTCCAATGGCTCAAGGTTTTAGCATAAGCAAGCACTAAGTAGGCTAACCCCCAAGTGAAGGCATGGCTGGCTCCAGTGAAGTCGTGGTAAAGTAGGGAGGGAGGAAAGGCCACCCGGGAGGAAAGCCATCCCTGGTTGGACTCAGTGCAACTTGAAGCAGCATCGAAAGTAAATAATAAATCAGTCCCCCAGATGACACACTCCACCCGCCAGTGCAGCCACAGGAGATGAGTGAATTCAATCCAAATGGTTATTTATTCTAAAACTGGAAGCTACTGTGCCTACATATTCGCCAGAATGTTGTAATGAGAACAGGGGAGGAAAACGTTACAGATGTAAACAATGACACAGTTACATTTTTTTTAAAAATGGTAAAACCCTTTTTTACTGGCCACTTCCAAGAATGCTTTACAGGTTGTGCAAAAACATTTACAGGCTCCATGTGATGTTTTTCTCACAAGCTTTTCCATCTACAACAACTGCAACAGACGTCTGATAAAACACTAAACAAGTCTTCTAAGGAACACAAGGCTAGGGATCCCTTCTGTTAATCCACATTTGTCCCCTTAACATTGTTTTTTTATAATAAAAAGACAGACAGAAACAAAACCCAGACATCTACTGTTGTTGCGATCGATCTCTTGGACTAAACCAACAGGACGTGGCAGTTTCACTTTCCGCCCACCTAAAAAAGTTGGTTTTTAAAATTTTTTTAAGATGACTCTCTAGTGTCAAAATTTAACAGCAAGTACCTCCCCTAATCCTCCCTCCCCTCAAGAAACCCAAAGGGGCATAGGGTTTGTCCCCTGGCCCTGAGGACCTAGCATTCCCAAACCATGTCATACACTACAAAAAGAAGCTATTCGCTGGAGGGCTAAATATTTGAGAGGGAGTGGCAGGTTCTGCCTTAAATTCAATTTTCTATTATAACATGATCTTGCCCTAAGAAATGTCTTTGGGCTCCAGTTTTCACCTCCTTGCCCTGATACTATGAGCAAAGCTTCTCAAAACCTCCAAGAATAAAAAGTTAGTGGGTTACAGAAAAGTTCATGCAATCACTTCACCCACTGCCACGCACAAATCCATTGGAAGGCACCACAGGAAAGCAGGTGCCCAGAGAAGACATCATTATGAGCAAGCAAACTTACTTCCTACCAGCCCCCATTCCAGCCTCGGGGTCAGAGGTATTTGTGGGGCAGGAGGGTGTATCACAGACAAGGGCAGCTAGAGGGCCAGAACGAGAGGCTGCAGACCTCAAGAAGGGCTGCATGGTGGTCACAGTGGGAGAGGGAGAGAGATCAAATCTCAGCACAAAATTTTAAACAGAGAACTGCTCAGGTGAGGAAATGGAAGTGAAGCATTTTCTAGTGACACAATCCAGGGTCTTTCCTCACCAGGAAGCGCTGCAACATGTGGTATTTGCCGAGTAAGCTCTTGGCTGACTCAATGCTGAGAGGGAAGATGAATTAAAACTGAAGCTACACATTGAAAGAGCATTCCCATATCCCACCCATATCCTTGAACCTAGCCACCTGAAGCTGTTTGTCAAGAATTGGGAGGGTGTTGGTCAAGTTGCAAAGACCATCCCAACTGAAGTCTCTCGGCTAGAGGCCCTTCTGGGGACGCGCAGGGAAAGCACCCCAGGAGGAATCCTGTTTCAAGAAGTCAGGAAGGGGTGCTCCCTTTCACGCACACGTTACACACACATTCACGCTCTTCCCAAGTTGCAGCAGCCCCGCTGAGCTGCCTCCCTCCCCCCACCCTCCCCTTTCTACTCACGCTCTACCTGTGTATCAAAAAGACCAGTGGGGCTCGGGCCCTCCATACTGTATAAAATAGTTGCTATTCTCAGCACCTGGGCCTGGTAGCCCACACCACAGGATTCACTATGTACATATCCTGCTGCCATGAAAATCCTGCTTCATTTCTGTGTGAGCTGAAACCCTGAGAAACGTTCCTTTTCTCGCACTACAAGAGGACAGATACTCTAACAGAGATGACTTCAGAGACTTCATGCCTATCTCAGCCTTGGAAGACAGAGAGGACAGTCTGACGAGCGCACTCTTCAGGCTGAGGCCTGCAACCCCATTCTTCCCCCAAGATGTGATGGGAATTCATCAGTTGGTACACAGGGGGTGCAAGCTATTCTGCTCTGCAAACAAACACAGTCCTCCTGCCTCCTTAGCCTGGGAATCCTATATAATAGAACCATCCAACAGGTAGTCTCCAGGCCTCAGCCAAACAGCACAAAGGCACAGGGAAGTGGAGACAGTGCCACTCTGGCCTCCCAGCCCACCAGACCAGATATCCCAAGAGGGAAAGGTCGGTAAAGAAAATACAAACGGTTAGTTGGTGCAAGTGATTGATAAGAGCCAATCGTTTATTTTCACTGCCCCAGTCACAAGCTCTCCCTGTCCCACTCCTGCCTGCTATGGAGAGCGCCCTCACATGCCTGCCCACCTTCTCCACGCCACCTCATCACTCTCCTTATGTGGCTGCCGGTCCCGCTGCCTTACAACGTCAGAAGGGTGACACATTCAGTACTTTTCCTGTCCAGCTGCAGGGTATAGGACAGGCAGCCCTAAGTGCTGCTTTCTGAGCAAATGTTTTTTGATTACAAATATCTAACTAGGTTTGAAATGTTTTATAGAATAA